CTCCTCGTTGGCTGTTATTTGTGTTTATGTTGTATCTGCTCACTTGTTCTTGTGGAAGTGCACTTAGCACCGGTTCCTGCTGAGTGCCAGACGTGGCTCTGCACAGTGGGGAAGGGGAGGAAGAGGAAGCCCCTTCTGCAGGGCCTCGTCTCCTCCGGGGGCCCTGACTGCGTCCCTCTGCCCTCTGCACAGCTCTCACCTGTGCGCAGTTCCATCCCGATGGACTCATTTTTGGAACGGGGACCATGGACTCTCAGATAAAGATCTGGGACTTAAAGGTAGGATGTGGGGGCTCTCCCAGGGGTGGAGAAACAATGGCTTTGTGTGTGTGATGTGGTCAGGGTAGTCTGGCGACTGGGCCGGGCCACCTACCCCTGCTATTCCTGCTGGCCACCCTTCTCTCAAAGACGGGCAGGGGGGCTTCTCAGAGGTGGGAGTTTGCTGAGCTCCATCTCCTCCCTCTCCCGGCCCCTGGGTGACACCTACCACCGCCCTCTGGCTGTAGGAGCGCACCAACGTGGCCAACTTCCCCGGCCACTCGGGCCCCATTACCAGCATTGCCTTCTCTGAGAATGGCTACTACCTGGCCACTGCGGCCGACGACTCCTCCGTCAAGCTCTGGGATCTGCGTAAGCTCAAGAACTTTAAGACATTGCAGCTGGATAACAACTTTGAGGTGTGTCCCCTCCCCCACCTCTCCGTTTCACCCTCGCTTGTCGATGATTCACTGAATTAACCTGAACTTGTCTTCGCTCCCAATGGCCCCCTGGTTTCTGTTTCCCTCGTGCGACTTCCGTTCTGGTTCTGGCAGGTGAAGTCACTGATCTTTGACCAGAGTGGAACCTACCTGGCCCTGGGGGGCACAGACGTCCAGATCTACATCTGCAAACAGTGGACAGAGATTCTTCACTTCACAGGTAGAGGCTGGCCCTGGGATCCCGGGGTCTCCGGGTGCTCTGGCCCAGAGGGAAGCGGGGCAGTCTCGCTGGGTGAGGAATTTCTAGGGGTAGGCGTGGACACGCCTCCGCAGCTTTAACCACTCCCTGAGGCAGTAGCGTTTAGTGACTAAGAAAATGGCCTCGAGAGTCAGAGAGCTTGGCTTTGCATGCTGGCTCCACCTTTTCGTTTTTCAGGCTGTGTGACATAGGGCAAGTTACTTAATCCCTCTGGGGCATGATAATTGTACGTACCCATTAGGGTCGATGTGAGGTTTAGATGAGTGTGTGTATGAGTGTGTTAGAACAGCGTCTGGCACACAGAAAGGACCTGTCATTGTCACCATTCAGTATCGCGTTGTAGTCCTTTGTGGGATTAGAGCAGGGAGTACGAGAGGTCGGGTCTTCACACTAACGGAATTTCTAGTCAGGCTAGGAAGGCATATGTGAGCCTTCACAAACGGTTACTTAATTACGATGGTAAGTCCGAGGGAAGAAAGGCACAAATGCTGAGACAGCCTCCGAACAGCTGTATGGCCCTGGGCGTGTGGCTTTCCCTTTCAGTTTTGCAGCTTCTCCATCTTTAGAACGGGTATGTCGGCACTGGTTTGCAGATTGTGCCAGCTGGTGACTCGGGGCGGCATGCGTGGCGACAGGGCGTCTGCTGCACACTTGGGGGCTGAGTGGCTGGCAGCGGCTGCCGTCTTTGTTGATAGGATTCTTGCCCCCATTAGCAGGTTGTGGGCAGGACACAAGGCACTTCACCACCCTGCCCAGTGTGTGGTGTTTCGGAGGCGCCCAGGCCTAACCGTCTGGCCCCTGGGTGCGCGCCCTCCCTGGACCTGGTGTTTCAGTGTGAAGCCGAGTGAGGTGGAGTGGCAGGCTGGAAGCCAGGGGACTGTAGTGGGGAGCTGGCCAGCTCCAGGGGTGACCCTACACTTGTCTGGAGAAAGTTGCGCTGACGTTCCTGAACTGTCTGAGCGCCATGGGCAGCGTTGCCCAGCCTCTTCTGCCCCGACCCCAGCCCTGCCCTGCATTCGGGGCCCAGGTTCCATGGAGCCGGAACCCCAGGAGCTAGAACAAGCTGATGGGCTGTTCCAGTTACACGCGAAGAGTTAGAACTAGATAGATCCCAACAGCCTGATTACTGAAGTTTAAACCCAGCTGAAAACTCAGCTAAGTTTTAAAAACAGCAAGTTGTGTGATGTGATGAACGGGACTCCGCACGCTTCGTGGGTCAGTGCTCTCTGCCCAGCGCACGGTCAGCTGCAGCGCTTGAGCAGCTCCGGGCTGGGCCACCCGAAGCTCAGGTGAGCGGATGGTCCTCCATGCACTCAGCCCACCAGCTAAACTCCAGTGCCTGCCCTGTGCACATGCCAGGCTCTGCGTGGGGCCCTGCAGGTAAATGTGCAGTAGGCTAGAGCCCTGCCCTCGTAGTGTGCAGCGGGAGGGGAAAAGACGAGCAGTCGTGTACATTGTGGTGAGCGCTGGGGGCGGGACTGGACGGGAAGGGGAGGAGCCTCTCACCGGTGCCTCTGGTTTCTCTCTGCAGAGCACAGTGGCCTGACCACGGGGGTGGCCTTTGGGCACCACGCCAAGTTCATCGCTTCCACAGGCATGGACAGGAGCCTCAAGTTCTACAGCCTGTAGGCCCTGTCCCTTCCGGCAGGAGCTGGGCCTCATCTCAGTGATGGGGTAGAGTTAGGGTTGGGGTGGGGGGAGGACGGGGAGAGACTACTGGGGGGGAGGGGTCCACGGGGTGGGGTGTTCACATCATTTCACTCTGGTCTGGGTGGCGGCCCAAGAGCCGGGGCGGCCTGGGCCACCCCCCCTCTGTGCAGCCTCCAGGCCTGACGAGAGTCGCCGTGGGAGGCAGCACCGCCGCCCTCTGAAGGCTCGGTCGGCACCCGGGCCTCTCCCCTCACGTGGGTCACTGATGGTGGTGGCCATTCCACACCTACCTGGTTTGTTCCTGGGAGGCGGGGACCGGCGGAGCCAAGGGAACTGTGCAGGGACGGGCACGAGGGCCCATGCGGGGTTTTGTAAGCAGTGATCTAGTTTCATTAAAAAAAGAAAACAGTAAACGTAGCCCCTCCCTGTGTGTGTCTGTAGCAGGAGCTCCAGGGCAGGTGGGGGGGCACCCTGTGGGGCACGGACATCGGGAAGCCTGGCAGTCACTCTCACCTCCCGCCCCTTTTTAAAAACAACAACAGAAAGCAAAGAAAATGAAAACAAATCTGACAAGCCATTTGCCAGAACGTATCTTCATGTCCCTTGACATGTCACTTGTGCTGCCACTTGCCACAAGCCTGGCAGGGAGGGAGGAGCGCAGGCGAGATGGCCTCTTCATGCTGGTGCGGGGCTGTGAGCGTGTGAGCAAGGACTCCTCGGTTGGAAGTGGTGGGAAGCCTGCACCGGCCAAAATCAGACGGAGGCTTTGTAACTGGCGTTTGGAAATCTGAAGGAGGCCTGGTTCGAGGGGAGACAGCCAGTAAATCATAAAACAATGCAGCATGGAGGGAGGTCGGAGCGGTCCAGGTGGTGTGGAGGATGGGAGGGAGGCCAGCGTGGCGACCACCAGGTAGGTCCGTGGACCTGACGAGCAATCCCAGCTCGGTGGTGGTGTGTGGGGCGGAACCCTGACAGGGATGGGTTACAAGAATGTGGGCAGAGGGTGTGGCAGTGACTGCAGATGGGGAGATGAGCTGGGGAGGGGAGCAGAGGCACCGGTGGTACCTGGAAAGGGCTGTGGGTCAAAGCAGGGTCCGTGTTGACGCAACAGATTGCCTGCGTCTGTGTTTTTGCTGTGTCGGTAGTCAAGTGTCGAGTGTCAGTCTGGGCACGCTTAGTAGGCAGTAAAACCTTTGAAAACTCCTGCAGGAAAGAAACCACTTCGTTATTTAACCCAGCTTTCAAATATTTGACCCGGAAAGCCCATGTGTGTATCTGCAACCCCTGTAAACTGTCCATTGAACTGGCCTTTTGGGACATAGGCCAGAGCTCCGTGGTCCGCAGGTGGGCCAGTGCTGAGCCTGCCGCAGCCCGCAGGCTCGGGTTCCCGGCTGACTCTGAGAGCGGGCAATGAGCGGTGTCGGGAACACTGGGTTCCTGACATTTGTCAGCCACGTGGGTGTTAGTCATATGTCCTCAGCTGCTTTGGGGTATTTACTTCTTAGGATTTGGGAAGTACTGTGATCTTTCGTGAAGAAAAGAGCCTCCTGCTGTTCTCCCAAGCTGGGGCAGACTTGAGGGGGAGGGAGGGAACTGCCGAGTGTCGAAGGGAGGACTCACAGGGCTGTGGCTGTGGCGGGTGTGCCCTGAGGCTGAGTGGGACCCAGTCTGGTGGCTTCTGGCCAGGTCTTAACATGTGCTCGTGAAGGTCTCATTTTCCAGGAAACTAAAGAGGTTCTTGGGGGGACCCAGGAGTGGGTAGGGCACATGGTGTGTCCACGACTGTGTGTGTGTTTCTGCGGGGATGGGAAGGAAATGGAATGCGTGTCAAGGGGCCTGGAGCCATGGTCCTAGAAGAATGTGTGTGGCCTGTGTCCTGGCCTCTGGGAGCCCAGGTTGGGTCACAAGGCTCTGAAATGCTTTCGTCTCTGTCCTGCCACCTGTCCCCTCACGTCAACAGAAAATTGTGTGCGAGACACTGTGCATACATTGTCTCAGTTCTTGAAATAGCCTCGCCATCCAGCAGGTCCGAGTATTTTCACTGCTCCCCTGTGGGGCCTCCTGCTGCCTCTTCTGCCGTCAGGGTGGAGGGTGGGAGCACGGACCCCAGGCACGGGCTCTGGGCTTCCACTCTGGCTGTGGCACTTGGTCTGGGACCTTGGGCAGATGACTTAACTTCTCTCTGTTCCAGTGTCTTCGAGAGGGATGGGAGGGTTGGGGGATGCTGTCTTTAGTGTATTGATTGAGGGCATTGGTTGGTGTACGAGAAGTGCTTTCAGCAGTGACTGCCGGTGGTACATGCTGCCTGTGTTTTCATTGCTGCTGCCATTTCTGTTACACCACTGCTGCCACCGGCGCCACCGCTGCTTCTGTTACCGCTCGATCTGACCCCGGCTGACACTTCTGCCGATACCACCACTGCTGCCTCTGCTACTCTGCTCTCCCCGGAGGCTCCTCCCCCAGGTGGGCTGCCCCAGGAAGCCTCCGGCGCCCGCCTCTGTCTTGGCAGGTGAGTGACCGCGCCCAGCCTGCGGTCCATGGCTCTGGCGTAGCGGCACCGCGCTGCCTTGGAGGTGCTTGTGCATTTGTCTCAACCGGACTTTTATCTCAGGGGTGAGGCTGCGTCCTCGATGCTGTCATGCTCCTTCAGAGATTCAGCCTTGGGGCTCTCTCTGTCTCTCCTTGGTACGTAAGAGGAGGGGGATGATGACGGTTCATCATTTCAACCAAAATGGACCGCAGAGCTGCCAGCTCCTGCCCGTCACAGCTCCAGGTTTGGGCTCAGCTGCCTCGTAGGTGGACCTTTTGGAAGTTGGTCTCAGATTCTAAAGGGCTCGCCTTTTCTGGATCTCTATTGTCAGGCTTGTATTTAGGGTCCAGGCACAGTCCATAGTCCCAGGTGTCTGAAGGGAGATCGGTAGGAGGTGAGACCAGTGCTTGCTGCATCCCACATGAACTTGAGCCCTTGGAGGAGCCATGTGTTGAAGGTGAGGGCATGGCAGCATTGTCAGACTCGGTGCACTACCCAAGGCAGCCACCCGGGGGCACTGCAGCCACGCCAGCCCGGCCCATAACCTTGGCCCCAGGGCAGAGCTCTGGGCAACAACAGGAGAACCCTGCTGCGCAGGCGCTGTTTTTCTCCCCCTTCTGCAGATGAGACCAGCCCAGAGTGCTTTGGCTTACGGCCACCCAGCAAGTGCTGGAGCTGAGATTTTAAGCCATCTGGCCTCAGAGACCAAGCCGACTACCCCATGAGCAGCTAAGACAGAAGCGGATGGCTGGCAGCCCACTTGAGTTTCCTAGGAGCACAGTGTTGCGCTTACACGTGGGCTCGGGGAGTCGAAGCCCCCGCTTGAATCCCAGCCCTGCAGCGCTCCATGGCCGGTGACTCTGTGCCGTGTCTGCCTCCAAGTGTCTACCTCTGCAGGCGCCCCACAGAGCTGATCCGACCAGTGGACAGCGCGTGAGGACAGCACAGGGAGCCCTCTGTGGCTGGTCACTGGCCCCTGCTCCTGCCAGCGCTGGCATCCCGGACACTGCCAGGGGCATGTGACCCGTTACTCCCAACACCTATGTCATTAAGATTTGGTCGGCCCCCGCCTTCTTCACTCATTAAAGCTCTGATGGTACCAAGTGGCCGGAACCTGGTCCAGGCAGGAGGCGGGGCCGCACAGATGAACACGCTGGAGCTGGAGTTCAATGGGGGTGCCACCACGGGCGGGGCCTGCAGCCGTTTCGAAAGTCGGAAGCTGGGGGAGAGGCGACATGGGCTCATTTTGAAGAAGTAAAAATTCACCAGGTGGACAGAGCAGAGGAACAGAGGAGGGGTGGCTGGTGTAAGGAGAGGCCTTGCTGAAGTAAGGAGGCTTGAGAGCACATTCAAGGCCAAAGCCAGGAGGAGAACAGAGATAGTGGGCCAGGTGGGGGCGAGAATGTTGGAGAAATGTCCAACAGGTTTTATAATAAGGCTGTGAGGTCGCTGGTCTCAGCCAGCAGCGTGAAGTCTAAAATCCCACCTGAAGATGTTCAAAATGTGAAACAGGTCTTCAACATCGTAAGAGTTTTTTTTTTTAATTGTGAAATACTTATTTAAAAGTGTCTATAATACGCCTTTTCATTTAAAGAATAGTAAGCACCCTTGTATGCAGCACCCAGCTGAAGAAAGACAGTGTCGGGGCCTCCGTGCTCCCAGGAGTGAGCCCCGCCCCCTGCAGAGGACACCGCTGTCCGGAATCGGGGTTGATCGTTCTTTCGCTTTATAATTTCACTGCTATATTGGGAGTGGGGGGGTGTTTATTTTTCAAGTTTATGGAAATGAAACCATTAAACCTGCTCTCTGACTTCGTTTGCTCAACATCGTTCTGAAATCTACCTGTATTGACACACACAACTGCAGTTCACTCACGACTGTGCAAGCGAAAGCAAGTGCCCGAGCTATTCCCTCCAGGTGGCGGGACCAGCACGCACTGGAGACGGCAGTCACCCAGAGGTGCGGTCCTGCCCTCCGTCGGGGCAGTGCGTGCTGGGAGAGCTTAGCGTGCCTCGGCTTACTGGGCCGTGGTGCTCTCAAGCCGTGTGGGCAGAAAGCACAGCACGTTCTCTGTTGTCATCGGGGAAGGGGCACAGCAACAGTGGGACGTGGCAGCACAGTGGTCCCAGCCCCTGTCTGCCAGCACCGTGCTGTGTTTGGGGATCTTCCTCCAACATGATCGAGGGTCTTGGGTCCAGACTGCAGTGGCAGCTGCTTATGTGACTGGCCAGCAGCCGGAGTCACTGAGTTGCACCCATGACTGGGCAGGTGCCAGCCCCAACTCGGACATTGTTAGGGGCTGGGGGTCCAAGCTCTCTAAGTGTCCCGAGCCCTGGACACTTGGCAGTGGCTGGAGGCCATGGAGCCTTGTAAGAGGCCAACTCCTTTCCTGGGAGGCCGGCCTGCAAAGGATAAACCTCGGACGGGTTAGCCTCTCGTTCATGGTGGAATTCTGTCATGGGAGTGTTCCACAATGCTTTTATGTATATGTCCTATTGATAATGGACAAGAAAGTGTTTCGGTATTTTTTTGCTATTATAAACTATTTCCGTGAATATGCTGGTGCACGAGTTTTTCCTAGGAGAGGACTTATTATGTAGATAGGATAGACGATGACAAATATTTTCACATGGTGGGATCGGTTTACACTGACCCAACAGTGGTTGAGTGCCCCCGTCTTTATACCCTCGCCAATCCTTAGTGTTTTAACTTCCACCGGTCTGGTGGGTGTGTAATAATAGTACCTTGAAGTTTGCTCTTCACAGCCACGACTACTAACGAGGCGAGCATCTCATCCACTCGCAGGCCATGTGAGTTTATCTTTTACAACGTGTTTCCTTGTGTCCTTTTCTATTTTGATTGTCTTATTGTTTCTTACTGATCTGTAGTAGGTTTTACATGTATATACTTTTTTCTTTTGATAACAATCCTTTGTCAAAGTGTTGCAAGTATCTTCCCAGCATGTGCCTTGTCTTTTTACTATAGTGTCTTGTGATTCTGGTTTGGGGAGTGTTTGCATTATTTGTGATTTCATGAGAATTCTTGGAGACTTTGAAATCACATCTTTTCAGACAGAATTTGCAATGGCTTCTATCTGAAGCCAAGGGATCACTTTAATTATCACCCTGGGATCACTTTAAATTAAAGTCAGCCCTTCAGTTTTTTCCAAACTGAACCTTTGAGAGTCCTAAGAATTTGGACTGCACTCACCAGTGAAGAGGGACTTACACTTTTAATTCTCAGGGAAGTTTTTTTTTTAATGTATCCAGCACCAAGATCAAGATAGACAGGCTCCCTGGCCACCACTTCTGTGCAGTGGGTGTATCCCCCCTTCAGTCCTGAACTGAGTCCCACGCCCTCCGGGGCCCCAGCTTTGAACAGCCCTGCACCTAGACTCCCCATCGTTGGCCCGCTCTGCACTTGCTCTGCACTTGACCTGCCGTCCCCTGTACTCATCGAAGCGGAGCGTCAAGGTCCGCAGGGTTCTGTGGAAGGCCCGGAATAGAAGCTGGTTTCACTCCCTCGAGTTTTTGCTGTTACTTTATTTTCGTCCTACATGAACATCTTTTTTTTTTCTTTCTTTTCCACGGTAGCTCAGCGAAGATTTCTGCATGTTTTTAAAATGTATCTATATAATCTGCCATGGGATTCACACCAGAAGGTCAATCCGGGTCTCCTGTCTTCCTACCACGGGGGCAGAAGTGGCGCCTTTACGGGAAACACGCTCACCAAACGTCGGGCGTGCAGCCACAGTTTAAGGAGCTCAATTTCACTTACACTGAAGTGGCCTCCCTGTTTAAGGCAAAGCACCATGGCATCAGTTTGATCTCAGTGACAGTGTGGGTAGGAAGGAGCCTGGGGTTTGGTGGAGAGGTGGGGAGTCCTGTGGGTCTTACCTAGCCGTGGCCACTGCCCCTGCCCCCTCTCCAACAGGCAGGAAGAGAAAGCCTGGCAGGCCCCCGAGCAGCTCTGCTTCCTGCCACAGGTCAGCGAACGTGGGTTGTTATCACCCCATCATGTCTGACTCACATGTTCTCAGGGCTCCTCAGGTGCCTGTTTGTGTCAGCAGGTGGTTTTAGGGGAGGGAGGAAGTTTTAAGTTGGACAAAATTTGAGCTAGGTTTTGATATTCAGCAAAGTCAGAGCTTATCCTGCTCCCTGTAGGGAAATCGGAGGGCAGCAGGGGCTGCAGGGCCCCTCGCTGTTCATGTATTTTGCACGCAGACGCTTTGACATGGAAACGTAGAGGAAAAGTTAGTGCAGTTTGTCAGTTACCGAAGTTACCTTTCGGAACTCTTGCACCTGTGTAACCTCGACAGGCGGGAAACACGAGCACTGTCACGGGTGTCGTGACGAGAAGTAAATGGATACTTTAAAGGTTACATAGAGTAAGGGAAGGTCTTTGCCACATTCAGAGATAAAACTAATGAGGGAGAGGTAAATATTCACTGTTACTCAAACAGCAGGATGGAGGCAGCCACACAGAGCGCCCAGCTCCATGGGGAATGTGTAAGATGAGGGTGCTGAGCCCGTGACTGGCGAAAGCTCTTGACAGACAAGGAGAGACAACTTACAAGACACAAGCGGCTGTAAAGATGCTTGGCTCCTAATTGAAGGTCTATTTTAGATTTTATTTTTAGAGGGGAAGGAAAGGAGAAATATCCATCTATTGCCTCTCACGTGCACCCCCCACTGGGGACCGAACCAACAATGTAGGCACGTGCCCTTACTGGGAATCCAACCAGTGACTCTTCGCTTTGTGGGATGATGTCCAACCAGCTGAGCCACGCCGGGCGGGGCAAAGAGGCCCATTATAAATCAGCAATGCTGTTTGCCCTGTGGTAGTCAGACAGGCAAAGATTTAGGATGACACAGTCCGCGGTGGCCAGGCCGTGGGGGACACAGGCCCACACTGTCCTGGAGCCAGATAATCCGGGAGGGGGGGATGCAGTTTTTGGCCCAGCAGTTCTAAGACTTTAT